ACGTACCACATTTCATGTTCAGAAAAATTGTATTAAAAAAACCAAAAATAATATACTTTGAGATATTGAATCTAAGATCAAATGGTGAGTATCTCCCTTGATAAAAAATAAACGGTTGGATAGTAGGGGGAGGATACTATGTTGTAGAGAGAACATAGAAATCTTTCCCAAATTTTAAACCATTGCTTTTAATTGTCTTTGGAATGACCACCCATTTCTATCCATCTTTAAGATAGATATTTTATGCCTCGGGGGAGGCAAATGTACCCCTCCACGCTTTCAACAATTATCCTTTTTAGTTATGATAGATAACATTTTTTATATATGAAAAATTATCCAAAAGTACGTCAAAATATTACCTATTTAGCATTTTAACTCATGTTTAGAAAAACATATACTAGTTTGGATTAGATTTAGCAGGTACACGGGCGGATTGCTTTATAGAATCAGGAATCAGCACGACATTCTTGTAATCCTTTGAATCCACAAAAGAGCAAGGTGATTCAGTTTGTTGAATTGCAAATTCCTGGTTGCTGATTCTGCTGGGATCACTTTTCGGGGGTCCGTACGATGGATAGCGAATCCGATACCCGATTCTGGGAATTTTGAACTGTTTCAACAATTTATCGAAACACAAATCTTCATTATAGATGTTAAACACTTCATTTCTAGGTACCTTTTGATCAAATTCTTTTTTCTAATTAAAAGAAAAGAAAAAATATTTTAGCTAGACACAAAATCTTCATTTTGTTCTTGTCATTCTTAAGTATTTTCTAATCTCCAGAATTTTGGTCGTAAAGCAAACATGTGGAGCATATACGTACGCCACTTTGATTCCCGTGGAAATCGATAAATCAAAATAAAAATCTCGCCCGCCGTCTATGAGACATTCTCTTTTATTTTTACTTTTTTAAGATAACGACGACACACACTTGGTTCAATAATTTAGGGCATGTTAATCTCTTCTCCTATCACTCTTTAAGTTGCGCCGTTAATAAAACTTATTTAATAACGTCTTGGCTCTTCCAAGTTACATTCTCGCCCTTTTAGGGCTCACAACATAGACGGGCCTGGGTCTTGCCCGTTGCCCCTTGCCTGTCTTTGGTTTCTATAGGACTGGCTGGAGCCCGCCCAGCTTGGATAGGGCATGAAGAGGTCCTAACCTTGTCTGGGTAGGGCTTAATAGAGCCCAAGTAAAAAAAAAGAAGGTCGGGAAAAAAAAAAACCTAGACCAAGCCTTACTTGACTTGGCCCTAGCTTGCCTTTGGTCCATATTTTGTGGCCCAAGCTCTAATCTTTTAAGCCTGGGCTAACCTACCCATTGCTAACCCTGTTGCCTCTCTCAAACAATGCAATGCAATGCAATCTAGATTTCGGCAATTCTTATTTTATTTTAACATTAACACATGACTATTATTAATTATGATTGGGGATTGAAATACATATTCAACTATAAGATGACCATGTTCTAACTTATGTTATTTACAATTCCACTACTAAGGTTTTTATTGTGTATTGCCGATGATGTTCTTGGTGAAAATATAAGAGGTATACTTGGCTAGAATTTGGGTTCAAAACAGTACAGTGGCACTGCCTAATCCCAAAAATGGACGGTTTACTAATTTTGAGATACATACATCAAAATAATAATGCGCTTAAATAATAAGAAGGGAAATTTATCGAAAAAAAAAAAGCATGAATTATGAACTAGTTAACATTTTACCCATATCATTTGAGTTAATTTCAACATACCCATCAAAAGATATGATCATAATAATAGTTGTGATGCCTATTGTTGACCTCACTGTCCTATCAAATGCGTAAGAGAAAAGGAGAAGGAATAGCTTACAAAAGTATGATGGCCCCTTTTTGCAGCAACGATCATATTGGCCTCACGAAAAAACATATAGCAATAATAAAGAAGTGCCTCTTTAGATCTCTACAACGAGTTGGGAGTCGTTCTCTACATTGAGTGTGAAGCACTTTCTTTTAAATAGCCATGGTAATTCCCAATAGCAAACCTTTGAATTCCCCCATATTGTTAAGAAGTGATGCAAAAACCGCTATAAATCTCTCTTCATCATCTTTGAGGATACCGCCGCAGGTAGTAGCACCTCGATTCCATAAGGACTATCCATCAATATTGAGTTTGAACTTTGAAGGATCCACATTGTTGGGGTCGCTATGAAATCTGAAAGACCCTTGTGGGGGATGGTGGGTGCCATGGGATTTTCAAGTTTTGAGCAATGCACCACCAACCACAGGGTATAGAAGGACCACCCTCGTGGCAACCAGCAAGGTCGCGATTAGGATGATATGATTGAATAGTTGCTTCTTCCCGTTCATTTGTCTTAAAAAATACAGGTGTTAAGTTCAGTCCAGATGAACCTACCTGCAGTAGAGAATAGAGAAAAGAGAAATTCAAGCATCTCGACGCCTTTCTGACTTGAAGCAACGTTGAGCTGGATGGATGACGCCAATGAAATTTTTTTTTTTTCTAGATCTCCAAATAATATATTAAAAAAAAACAACTCCAAGTTAGTTTTCAAATAATGCAATTTAGGGATTCAATTGTAATTAAGAATCAATTCAAATTTATAATTCAAACATTCTTTGAGGCTACATTGCTACTAAGAAATTTTCAAAGTGGCTCGAATTGCATTTTGGCTAGAAAATCAAATGGTGCCTTAGGTATCCAAATGGGCCCAAAGTTTTTTTATTTTTGGGTAAATCAGCAGGGTTTTAAAATTAGAAAAAATGAGAAAGAAAAAGTTTAGGGATGTAGATCATATTAAATACATTAAGAATGAGGATCAAATGTCATATTGAACGATTAAGAAGTCAACAAAAGGTGGAGAGCTTATTTTCAAAAATTATTGCATGATGAATACAATGGGAATACAGCCGTTGAAGGAATGGCTGACATAAATGATGGCGGAGGTCATAGATATATTCATAGGATTAGGATCTTAGATGTGGAAGAAGCTCTGAAGAATGTAAAGATAGGAAAGGCTATGGGACCAAATGGTATCCGGATAGAAGTTTGGAAGTGCATAGAGGAAGCCAGCATTAACTTGTTAACCAAGTTATTCAATAAAGTGTTAAAAACAAAAAAACGCTAAACGAATGGAGGGAAAGTATTGTGGTACCTATTTACAAGAATATATGAGACATATACTATTGTATGAACTATTAAGGGATCAAACTTATTAGCCACACCATGAAGTTGTAGAAGAGATTGATTAAGCAACGACTAAAGCGTGAAACAAGTGTATCAGAAAATGAGTTCCGTTTTTTACCAGGAAGGACCTTCATATTGTTGTTATTAATCTAGAGGAAGCTTGTGATAGAGTAACTCGATATTTAATTTGGTGGGTGTTAGAAAAGAAATGGGTATCTAGATATTATATCAACAAGATATGTACAAGGGAGCATGACTAGTGTTGAACAACTAATAGAGAGATGAGTGAGTCTTCAGTGATAATAGGTCTACATTAGGGGTTCTCATTGAGCTCATACCTTGTTGTCTTAGTCATGGATGACTTAACTAGATGCCTACAAGATAAGGTACCATGGTGTATATTGTTCATAGATGATATAGTTTTGATCAATGAGACCTGAAATAGCATCAACACAAAGTTAAAACTTTGAAAGGACACTCTAGAATCTAAAGCTTTTAAAATTAGATGGACTATACATAGTATATAGAATATAAGTTCAGTAACAATTTCTTGAGTCGATAATCCATGAAAACGGATAGAATGAGAATATTGGGCAGTCAAGAAACAATATACCCATAGGATAAATGTAGCTAAAATAGATGAGTGACAAGACAAAAAAGAATAAAATTCAAAATGAAATATATTTGGGAGATGTTAGGTGTGGCTCTAATAGTCGATAAGATGAGAGATAGTAAACTTGGGTGACCTGGCCATGTGCATTGCAGACCCAGTACAATAACCTGTTAGAATGTGTGAGTTAGTTCAAGTGAAATATTCAAAATGAGTAAAGAGTAGACCTAAAAGAACATGGTTGGAAGTAGTGAGAAAATATATAAAGACTTGTAACCTTATTAATGGTATTGTCATGATAGAACATAATGACATAACGGAATTTATATATCAAACCCTTAATAATTAAAAAAATACTCTCTAAATGATTATGATGATAATGGGTAACTCACCTACCATTTTTTTCCTTTACCAGTCATTTTTTAAATCTATTGATGTGAGTTGAGGTCAAGACCTTTTACGTGAGACTCACATGGTACTACCACCTCAACCCCGGCCCATGGACGGTAAGTTGTACATCTTGTTCTCCTCTCTTTCCAAGTGAAAGCTTTGAAATATGAGAAAAGTTTATAAAGAGCCGAAGCTCTAAACAATCAAATTTGAGCCTACTTCCAAAAATTTTTACCATAAGAAATTGTTTTGATGCCCAAATATCATCAAATTGATCATCTCGACATCAAGATGCATAGACGTGAAAAAAAAAAAAAGGATTTTAAGTTTTGAAAATAGTATATTTTGTAATGCATTTTTGGACAGTCAATTTTCAAAATTTTCAAGTTTTCGTAGATCTATTGTTCTATACTATTTTTTAAGCTTTAAATGTTATAAATGAAGATGAAAATATATTTTAAGGCTATCACAAAGATTTTCAGTATTGAAACCACATTTTTCGATACTAGTTGAAGGTAGGCTCTAATTTGATTGTTTAGGGCTTAGGCCCTATGCAAACCGCACCCTATTTGGTAGTTGCAAGTTATACTCAAAACAGACAAGCGGAAATTCCGTAGAAAGTGGGATATTCATGAATGCCACGCCATTTGTACTCAAACCCAACTACGCAAATCTCCATAACCCACCCTCACGAAGTTTCCACACTCTCTCTCTCTCTACATTTGTCTCCCCCTTTCTCTCTCTACCTTTCCCCCTCCCACTGGAGTATAATTTCTTCCTCTCTATCTCTCTCTCTCTGCATGTACCCCGGAAAGTACTTGCTTCCGTACCTAAAAACCAACCGACTTTCTCACTCTATTTATTGTTTTTGTCCCCCTTGAAACTTTCTTCCAATTTATAAAAAGCCCTTTTACACAACTGCGACTGCAGCTGCAGCGCCTTATCCTCCCCTTGTCCCCTCTCTCTCTCTCTCTCTCTCTAAAATCCAATACTCTCTTTCTCGCTCTAAAATCTGAGACTCTGAGCACTCCTCTGTTCAACTTCAAGAATCGACGGCCGTCCACAACCGATCTACGATGAAGTACCTAATCCGAAGGCTTTCCCGCGTCCACGAGTCCCCGGACTTCGTCCTCCTTCCCTCTAATCCACTGAGCTCAATGGATGGCAAAGAGAGCAAAGGAGCGAAGAATCGCCGAGTGAAGCGACAAAGTCGGCGTAGTTTTAAGGGGCGCGTGCCTGTGCACGTGGGAGAGGAGATGGAGAGGTTCAGCGTGAGTGCCGAGCTTTTGAATAACCCGGTTTTTTGCGAGTTACTGAAAAGATCGGCTCAAGAGTACGGATACGAGCAGGAGGGGGTTCTTAGGATCCCTTGCCCTGTGCACGTTTTCCGGCAACTTTTGCAGTGTTTGGAACAACACGGCGACATTCATGAACTTCAAAGGATGACCAGCCTTGCTTTACTGTAAATTTTTAATTTCGATGGTTTTTCTTCTTCTTTTTTTTTCCTCTTTTCCCCTCTTTTTTTTTTTTTGGGGGGTAAGGGGGGCTTCTATTTTGAGGCAGCAGGGTTTTTCTTTCTTGTTATCTTGGATTCTTTTTTTAATTTTGAAGTTTTTAGTTGAGGCTATTATGTGATGTAAAGTTTTGACAAGATAAGAAAACTAAAAGTTTTATTGCTCTCTCTCCTCCCTCTATCTTATATCGCTCTCTCTCTCTGGAGATGGAATAAATGAAGCCAATATTTTCTTATGATGTTTGAGAATTGAGAGGGTTAACAAAACCCACGATGTCTTTCTCTTACTAAACCCAAATTCATGGTGGGTTCTGATTTTTTTCTTGGAAAGGGTCTTTGTTCTCTCTCATTGAGCTAAACCCTATGAACACCTAAAGAAAGGTAAATGTATAATGAGTATAAAATAGCCACAATTAATATTTCATCATTGAATGTCAAATTTGATGACTGCATTTATTTCATCGTTCAAACTCAAAATTCATAAAAAATTTTCTCAAATTTTATAAGAAACTTTATAACATCTATACAAGGTGATCATACACGAGCCGTTGCCTGTTAGAAGAATATAACGTGGACTCAATCCCCTTTCTTTAGTGGAGAAAATCCTTGTCGTTTGTGCTCTTGCCTAGTGGTCCACACATCAACTAGCCTTTGGCCTTATTATAATTTTTTGGGTAATTCGGTTTTTTTGGATAATTATGTGGGGAACCTTCTCTACCCGTTTTTTTCAAGTAGATTAGAAATTAGCATTTTTTTTTTTAAGCCTTAAGAGGGGTGGTAGTAGTGATGGGAATGGTAGCTATAACATGGGGACTAAGGTGTGGGGTGCTACCACCACGACTTTATCCCTTTCTCAAGTGGGGATTTGAGCTCTTATCTTGTTGAGAATAGAGATAAAGATCTCACCATAAGGCTCGACAATACTACCATCAAGGCTTTAGGCCTTTTTCATAGAAAAAAAGTGGTAAGTCAATGAAGATTTGAGCCCTCCTTTTATCAAGAGATGAGTCAGAGATTGGCCTCACTATATAGAGCATAGCTGGCTTCACCATTGCTAACTTATAACCGTCCAAAGCACAAACCGCCAAAGGAACCTGGCCTTGAGCCGGGACGAGTAACCCGGACTGGATTTGAGTAATCTTGCACTAACGGGTAGGTGCCTAAAAAGTGTTTAAAAAAGAAAAAAATTAGAAAAAATTAAAATATGATAAATATGTCCAAAGTAAAATTACACGAACCACATCTAAATGAAATTAAAAAAAGCAATGAAAAAAATAGATTTTGAAAAATCAATTTGTGACTAGGAGTTGTTTACAAGATAATCCAAAGAAAAGGAGAAAATGTAAGTATAAGCATTTATGGCCAAAACACCTTCCAATCTTTGCCAAAATAATAAAAAATATAAAAATCATATAATTTTTTTTTTTTTTGTTAGATTTTTTATAATTTTTTTTATTATTTTTCTTAAGATCTCGATCTTAACTACCAAACGTGGGATATAACCGAGCTAACTAAGCTAACCATCCTGGTATACCTAGAACTAACCGATTCAAAGGGTACATGTCCAGGTAGTAAAAAAATGCCCGGGTAAGAAGCCTAGTCATGTAGGGGGTCCAACCTCTAGCGGTTAGACCACCTAAACTGGCTAAAAACCGACTTGCCAAGTGGGCGAATCCCAGTAACCCTACCAGGTCTGGTTCGACCTTGTCGGTTGTCCTATTGTGACTAATAGAGCCTATCACCCAAGGATGGTAAAATAAAAAAATATTAGTGATATTACTGGATGCTCCATATTTTACTCAAATTAATGTGGAGGTAGTTCTTTTTCTGTTTTTTTAAATTTTATTCCTGGTCTTATGTTGCAAATATCAAACCAATACTTTTGTGTTTTAATGTTTTAAAGTGTATGGTTGTACCATACATAATGGTCAATTTAGGGACTTCCCTAAAGTTGGTTATTTGATGTTTTAAATATCAGATTGCACGACTATAAGCATCTTCCCTTGTCTTGGTTCAATTTGGGTCAAGTTGACTGTTCAAACATCGAAACAGCTTTTTCGTACTTTTTTGAATGAGGGTTTATGACTTGATAGGGAGTTTTAAAGACTGAGTGGGAGAGAAAGAGAGAGGTTTAAGCTTTAAAGTGAGAGAATATGAAGAAACCCAGTAAAAGAACAAGGAGAAGCGGTGGGCGATGTCCTTGTGCATACATGCCGCCTAGGAAAATGATTGTTCGATATTTGTATCATTGGATGGGCTACTTCAATAAATAAGAAAAAAAATAAAAAGATGGTTAGACTGTTTATTTTTTTATACAAAGAGGTCACAATTATTTGTAAGCATTCAACGTGAAATTTGATAGCTTGGATGTGTCTCAAAGTTCGCATTTTTTTTCTTTTTTAACTTTGATCATGGCTGATTAAATAAATGTAGCCACCCAATTTTACATTCAATGGTAAAGATTAATTGTAACTACCTTATATTAAAGATAAATGGTTTTGTGATATACTTTCCCATAATAACATTATTCAATATTGACGTTTGTAATATCTTATTGACCTAAAGTATGGGAAGAGGCCTACAATGGGGCAATCTAATGTTTGGGAAATCGAACAGTCGAACTGTAGGGTAGTTTGTTGTTCGAAGCATCGAATTGAGCCAAAATTGAACCCTGCACTATTTGATGATTGCACAATTTAAAAATAATAAAATAAAATGAAAATCAGCCCAATATGTACAACATCGAACTGAAGATAAAATTGAAAAGAAATTAAATCAAAAAAATAAACAAAAAGTATAAAAAGGCCACCGTATAAAAAATATTTCCGATCTCTCTCTTATAAATTTCCCAAGGACTGACAAAAATATTCACTACTAAATATCTTAAAATATGCCTATATCCATAGCACAAGTCCATCGGTTCATATTTAACTAATCACATCCCCTGTTTTCTATATTCACGTGCTCCTTTATAAAACTTGATAGAATCTCTGCCTTTACGAAAGGCGTATCATATTATAATGCAACGATACTTTTAAAAAATCATGTTTGTGGTATTTGTATGACTCAAAATTTTATACATACACTCTCTTCATCATGATCAATCTAAAAAAGCAGAGTTTCAATTTGAATCCTGGATATGGTCAAAACGAGGCCCCTCCAACAATAAGTCAATTTGAAATTCATTTGTGGAATTTCAAGATCTTAGCCTTTACAATATCAAAATCATTTTTTCCTTTTTTAACAGTGTTCATCTAATGATAATAAAGAAGAGCAAAGAGAAAATAGTATTACATGGCTTAAATTATTGGAAAAAATTTATATAGAGCCGAGGTTCTAAACAATCAAATTAGAGCCCACCTTAAAAATTTCACTAGAATAGGTTGTTTTTTATGCCCAATTATCCTTAAATTGATCATCTCGACATCAAGATGCATGGACATGAGAAAAAAATGGATTTCAATTTTTGAAAATAATGAATCTTATAACACATTTTTGGACCGTCAATTTTCAAGACTTTCAAGTTTTCATAAATCTGCTAAGTCTATACTATTTTTGAAGCTTTAAATTTTATAATTAAAGATAAAAAATATATTTTAAGGCTATCACAAAGATGGGAAAGGTTTTTATGCTTCCCCTACAGCATAGAAGTTTTATCCTCCCCCTACCATCCAGTCGTCCAATTTTAATCAAGAGAGTCACTCATCGTTTGATCTTAGATCTGACGTTTCAAAGTATTTTATTTTTAGTTTTTTTTTATACAAAATTTGGTATGTGTCATCTTCTCATTGAGGCGCACCTATAAAAATAATTTTTTGTCAAAATATAATGACCAAAATACCCCTTAAAACTTTCTGGGGTATTTTGATCATTTATTTTATTGAAAGTGTTTCTTTTATATTTTTCGCTAATGCGAGTTTAATAGAGGAATGGACGTCTAAAATTTGGTATCAAAATAATTTATAAAAAAAATTAAAAATAAAATAGTATAGAGACGTGACATTGTGATTGGGACAATCTTAACCCTCCATTCAGAATGGATGGTTGGATAAAGGGGAGGATATAACTTCTATAGAGCAGAAGAAACATAGAAAGCTTCCCTCAAAAAGATTTTCAATATTGAAACCATATTTCTCAGCACTATTTGAAAGTGTATTTTACTTTAATTGTTTAGAACCTCGACACTATCCAAACCGCATCCTAAATTATTTAGTAACTTCATTAAAATGTTCAAGACATCCCATTTACGACAGTAAGGTTGCGTGTTCTCCGCATGCCCCATCTTGAATATTCGGTGTCGTTATCACCCTTACCGTAACATTTTTTTTTTTTTCTTCACTGACCCCAGGATATTTTTCAGTTTTATTTATAACAAAAATGCCCTTTTTTATGTCTCTTTTTCTCTCCCTAGGCCTACATTCCCATTTATATTTATGCCTCTCTAAATATGTAAATGGGCTATTTAGTTTCTCTCTCTAAAATATTATGGGTCTGGGATCTATATAGAAAGAAAAAATGGGAAAAAAAGAGAAAGAAACCAATAAACCTATTCATAATTTTAGAGAGAGAGAGCCCTCTAAAGAGAGGAACCAACAACTTTATTTATGTTTTTTATATAAGAAAGAGAGACGAATATGAATAGACTGTAGGATTAGAGAGAGAATGAAGGGGAAAGAGAGATATGAATGTTTATTTTGACTTTTATAGAATTTACTAATAAGGGTATTTTGATCATAAATATATTAAAAATTACCCAAGGGTAAGCAAGAAAAAAAAATATTTTGGGGGTAATGGATGAGAGACTTTTCAATGGAGGCATTACTAGGAGAATATCCAATCTGAGGGGTCTTAGTAATTTTCCTTATTTATTATATTTAGTTTACAAATGTATTTCTTAAACAAAAAAAAAGTTAAAAATCTCTTAATTTCTTCTGTTTACTGTTGAGGATCTTGTACATCCAGAATATTGTGATAATTTTGCCTAATTAAGTAGATCAAGTCAAATTATAAATATGTCGCCAATGGAAAGCGTTTATATAGGGTTGTAATTTTATACTATAGGAATAAGGTAATCCTCAAAAATACAGAGAAAATAGTGTCCTTAATTTGGAAAACCCTTCGAATTTGAGATTATGGAAAACCCTTCGACTTTGAGATTATGGTTCTTG